CAGGGCCAGGCAGTGTTTTGTTCTGTTGAACATAGGGTCACTACAAGTTGGAACTCACTCAATGGTACCTAACAACATAGTAAGTCCTCAATACATTTTTCTTTTATTTTTTGGTGCTGAAATCCGGGAACGAACCACTCAATACATTTTTCATAGCATTTGTAATATTTCTCTATTTGATATGTTTTACTCTATTTGCTTTTATGAACAGTCTTTTATATTGGACAATCAACTCCTTTGGGACAAGGCTGGCTTTCTACATCTAAGTTTCTACTAATTACTAAAATAATTAGTCTCTCACTCACTCACCTGGAGCTTCCCAAAACCTTGTGATTGGAAGTCTGACTGGTCAACTCTTAGCACAAAGGTATATTTGATATGACAAAGTATGTGGCTGACTTATAGCAATCTCCAAAGTTATAACTTCATCATTTTTCAAATAAAAAGAACAAGAATAATGATGCTTGTTCTGTTGCTAAGTGGATACCTCTTCCTTTTACATTTTTCAGGCTTGTTTAAAGTAATATAGGAAGTTTAGAAGTGCCATGCTTGAAATTAAGAAAGAAATGGGTTTCAGTTTTAAGTAAAGTTTGGCAATTCAGATAGTAGTGATGCTGGGGTGATGGTGGTAGAAGAGGTATGAATCTGAGCAGCTAATATTATGTGCCCAACTCATTCTTCCCATTTGGAATACTGACACAAGAATAGGTACTATTATCTACCTTATGAATATCTTGTGGAAGTTATTAGTCAATTAAGATCATGGAATTTTGGGAAAAGAAGGAGGTTGCATGTGTATCTCAGACAACAGGTTAGAGGCTGTCTGTACTATTAAGGCCTGATAACGAACAGTACGTCATATTTTTGTACTAACAAAGTTTTTTTGTATTTTTTTTATTTTTTATTTTTGGCACCCATGCCTTCTAAGTGCCCATAAAGATTAATTCACATTGAATTTGGTGTAGTTAATTTCACTCTCATTATGTTAGTTTTCTTACTTTCTGAACATTGACTGGATCTACAGCATTAAATAAATAACTTTAGTAGAATACGATCTACCTTAATTTTGTTGTTTAGAAACTTCTCTCCTCTTTCCCATTAACTATGTTTTATATTAGGGTTTTTTTTTTTTTTTTTCCCTTCAGGTGTATAATCCTTAAAACTATGAGAAATAGGTAACAAATGAGTTTAAATACAAATTTTAATTTGGGAAGAAGTTTCTAACTAATCAAGGTCCCACAATGGGGACGTGAACACTGATCAGTCATGTGGATTGTGTTTGGCAAGCCAGAGAAAGGTTTCCCATTTCTTTAGTGGGGTGGGAATTGAGTATTTTATCAAGATATGATGCTGAATGACATAAGTAGCTTCCACTGTTTGTACTATAACCAATAAGGAGAAGTTGGCTTGGTGATGTTAGAACCCAAAGTGCATGACAGTGTTAGAATTGTAGACTGTGGTCCTCCTTTAGCTCTTTCAGGTGAGCTAAGGCTTTAAGAATTTAATTCTTTGGATTCTGTGTGAGGAAAACAAAAGTTCATTGCCAGTATAAACTGCTCAATCACAGTAGAAAATATTTTCCACTTAAAAAAAGTATCCAGTTTCTCAGCTTATAAGCGTTTAATAAAAATTCAGTTTCAGTGTGTTGCTAATTGCCTCCATGAACAACTCTTTCTTTTCCATGAGACCAGAAGAACTGGATGGTATCCAGCTACCATTATTGAACATTTTTATCAAAGATTCTCTGGAGGGATCCTGCATCAGAAGGGGGAAAATGCAGAATAGAATTTCAAATTCTCATGGACTCTAGACTTTGTGGAGCCATGGAGGCTGGATGACTTATGAAACTATTCTCCTGACATAATCTTTAAACCTTAAACCAAAAATATCCCCTGAAGTTATCTTAAAACCAAACAATAGTTTAGCTTAACTGGTAAAAAGGTCAGCCTTGAGCAATATGATCTTTGAAGAACTATCTATATGGGATCAAACTGACAATAACAATGCCAAGATTAGAATGGAACCTTAGGAAGCAGTGAATTGATATTAATGAAGGAGGAACAACTCAGAAAGGGAGAAAGAATAGTTATACTACTCAAGAATATAATCAATGTCACTAAATTATACATATAGAAACTGTTGAATCAGTGTATGTTTTGCTGTGTATAGTCTCAAAAACAATAAAACAAAATAAATAAATAAATAAAAATTCAGTTCCAGGAGGACTTTTCATAGTTACCATCAAACTAGTAGCAGAATAAACTTTTCCTGCATGAATTCTTTGAGAAAAACTTCATTGAAAAATGTCTCTGGTGAGTAGCAACTGAGGTCTTACTTAAAAACTTGCAAGTTGCCATCCAAGATACAATTAATTACTGGTTTCTACTTGTTTGGAGTAAACAAGAGTGAAGGAAACCAAAGACTCAAGGAAGAAACCAGTCAATAGGATTCATAGCATACAGGAGCCTCTTCTAATCTGAGACCAAAGAATTAGATGGTGCCTGGCTACCACTACTGACTGTTCTGACCAGGGACACACAAAGAAGGTTCCAATTAGCATGGGAGAAAAATGTAGAACAAAATTCAAATTCATAAAAAAGACCAGACTTACTGGACTGATAGAGACTGGAGAGAGACTATTTCCCTAAGATAGTCTCAAACTAAAACTGAAACTACTTCCCTTCAACCTAACAATAGATTGGATTTAAAATAAATAATATCACCCATGAATAAGTGTCCCTTAAATAATTAAATAATTAACTATATGCTGAATGGTCAACAGTTACCCAAAAGCAAAGATGAGAAGGCAAGAAGGGGAAGGGAAGCCAAATCAATGGAAACAGAACAGAAAAATGAGACTACTGACACAATGTGAATACTGTAACCAATGTCATGGAACAATTTGTATAAAAATTGTCAAAAGGGTACCTAATTAATTGTGCAAACCTTCACCTAAAAAAACAATATTGGAGGAAAAAAACAAAAAGAAAATATCTCCTTCAAAATATGTAAAATAACATTATTTTTTTTCATAGACCAGGTAAAATTAGGTGAGAAAAGAATACTTGGAGTATGTGTGATTCAAACGTATTTCTTTTTGAAGAATTTGTAGACAATGAATGGGTGCAAATTAATACTAATACCCTTTATGAGTGTCTTTCTTACAGATCACGCATTTCAAAGTATCAAATTCTATTTACTCAAAAAACCTATTAAAATTTCCCTGGCAGCTACATAAGACTGAAACGTCTGCATGAACTGCATTGATGTCTCTATTTTGTGCCAAATGTTTCAGAAATTTTTAAGCAGTTTATTTATCTAAAGTTCCAGAAAGCAAGAATTTCCAGAATGATAACTGAAAGGGGCTGATGGTATAATAATTAAAATAATGCTAGCTTTCCCTTATTACATGTGTTGTACAGAGAGGCAGTGTCCTCCACACAAGTAAAAAAAGAATAAAGATCATTGCTTCCTGTAGGGTAAACATCCTTACAATCCCTTCAGACCCAGCTCTGAGCCAGAGCTTCCCACCCCAGTCTATTTGTAGGAGATAGCATAAAAAGTACTCTCTGGGTTTGAGACTGGTTGCACCATATACTGGTGGTTTGATCCTGGACAAATCATTTAATCTCTCCTACTTTCAGTTTCCACAACTATAAATGGGATCAACAATACCTGGTAAAAGTATTATAGGACTGGGGTGAGGATGAGATTATCTATGTGAACATATTATTTAAACTATAAAGCAACAGTAACCAAGTGTTAGTTGCTATCTAATGTATTGGCCCAAACTTTCCCGCCCATGTCCTAACCGGAAGGCTGGCGGTTCAAACCCACCAGCCACTTCTCAGAAGGAAGGTTGGGCAATCTACTTTCGTAGCGGTAGTCTCGGAAACCTGAGGGGTCGCTATGAATCGGATACGACTCGACAGCACATAACAACAATAGATCTGAATGTCTATCCAGTCACTTACTGGCTGTGAGAACTTGAGCAACTTATTCCTTTCTATTCATGTTTCCTAATAGGGTTAAGATGAAGATCAAATGCTATCTGGTATATAAATGCTTAACACCGTGGTAGACATATATTAAGAACTTAACATTGTCAAATGTCATCATTATACTCTGGAGAGGGGTCTAAGGACCAAACAGAATCATAGAGTTAAATAGCTTTGCATATGCATATAAAACTCTGTACAGCCCGAAGTATTGTTATCTGTACTATAAATGACAAAGACGTGTAGGCAATGAGAAACCTAATGGCGCCTCAGCGACCTCTACTAAAGAGGAAAAAAGGCGCGCGAGGGGCGGGGATTTAGACACCCCAGTAGCTTGGAATACCGATAGAAAAGAGTGAGGATGGCGAAGTGGGGCAGAAAATAAGATTCTAAGAAACATCCCGAGAATCAATTCACTATTTTCTCCCTTCTTGTCATATGACCTCCAACCTAGATTAGACCATTTCATTCAACTTCCCATCCCATCACATCCCTGGTTATTTATTTACCATACCTTCTTCACTGAGAACCTTTCCTCTCCCCTCCCCATCTAGGAGTTGTGAACTTCAGACCCTCTGCTTCCGACACCCATTCCCTTTAACTTCATTTTTACCAAGCTTCCCTGTACTTTTCCCTCTGCCCAAAGGGGAAGTGCGACTGGACGCACCGCAAGGCATCCTAGGAAACGTGGTCTCTCAGGCTGTCTTGCTTGGGCCCCACATCTGGGAAGAAGATAAAGCAGAGCCAGCCAAAACTACAACTTCCGGCAGGCAACGCGAGTCATCGTCTTCCTTTCTGCCCCCCTTCCTTTTGCCTTCCTCTTCCTCTTCCCTGCCGGCGCTGTGCCGCTTGGCCTCACGGTATTTGTAGTTTCCTCTGGGCCCACGATCCTGGTATTTAATGAGCAGAGGAGAAGTAGGAAGACTCTAATTCCCAGAGGGCAACGCGGAAGCTGCGCCTGCGCACTTTGAGTGAGGGTGTGTATGTCTGTGTCTGAGGAGAGAGAGCGAGAGTGAGTGAGTGTGAGTGCGGGGTGGGGTGGTGGCCGTTACGTTCGGGGCAACGGCTACGGCAGTAGAGAAGTAAGAAGAGAAAACAACGTCCGGCGCTTCCGCCTTCTCTTAGCGGGAGGAGGAGCTGGTAGGGAAAGGAAAGTGATTCGCCCTGGGCCTGGACTGGACCGAGTCGGGCCGGTGGCTGCCTGTGCTATGAGCCTTTGAGGGTCGCTTGGGACGCAGAGCGAGACACGAGAGCCGAGAGCTATGTCTCAGCCGCCGCCGCCTCCTCCACTGCCACCTCCACCTCCTCCTCCTGAGGCTCCGCAGACTCCGCCGCCTTTGGCAGCGGCGGCTGCTCCGGGAGGGCTTTCCAAGCGGAGAGACCGGAGAATCCTCTCCGGGAGCTGCCCGGATCCAAAGTGTCAGGCGCGTCTGTTTTTCCCGGCCTCCGGTTCAGTCAGCATCGAGTGCACTGAGTGCGGACAGCGGCACGAGCAACAACAGCTGCTGGGGGTGGAAGAGGTGACTGACCCGGACGTAGTGCTACACAACCTGCTGCGGAACGCGCTGCTCGGTGTGACAGGGGCACCTAAGAAGAACACAGAACTGGTAAAGGTGATGGGCCTTTCAAACTACCACTGCAAATTGTTGTCGCCCATATTAGCTCGCTATGGCATGGACAAACAGACAGGCCGGGCTAAGCTTCTCCGGGACATGAACCAGGGTGAACTGTTCGATTGCGCCTTACTGGGTGACCGCGCCTTCCTTATCGAGCCAGAGCATGTTAACACGGTGGGCTATGGCAAAGACCGCTCTGGAAGCCTCCTATATTTGCATGATACTCTTGAGGACATCAAACGGGCCAATAAAAGTCAGGAATGCCTCATTCCAGTGCATGTGGACGGGGATGGTCACTGCCTGGTGCATGCTGTGTCCCGGGCTTTAGTAGGCAGGGAGCTCTTCTGGCATGCCTTGAGAGAGAATCTTAAACAGCACTTTCAGCAGCATCTGGCCCAGTACCAAGCCCTGTTCCATGACTTCATAGATGCTGCTGAGTGGGAAGACATTATCAATGAGTGTGACCCTCTGTTTGTACCACCCGAGGGCGTTCCCTTGGGGCTGAGGAACATCCACATCTTTGGCCTTGCCAACGTTTTACATCGTCCTATTATTCTGTTAGATTCGCTTAGTGGCATGAGAAGCTCTGGTGATTATTCGGCCACCTTTCTGCCTGGGCTCATCCCTGCAGAGAAGTGCACTGGGAAAGATGGTCATTTGAACAAACCAATCTGCATTGCATGGAGTAGCTCTGGTAGAAACCATTATATCCCCTTGGTAGGCATAAAAGGGGCTGCTTTACCCAAACTGCCTATGAATTTGCTTCCTAAAGCATGGGGTGTGCCCCAGGACCTTATTAAAAAGTACATCAAACTTGAGGATGATGGTGGTTGTGTTATTGGAGGTGACAGAAGTTTGCAGGATAAATACCTACTTAGGCTTGTGGCTGCTATGGAAGAAGTCTTTATGGACAAACACGGTATCCATCCTAGTTTGGTTGCTGATGTCCATCAGTATTTCTACAGGAGGACTGGGGTGATAGGAGTTCAGCCTGAAGAAGTAACAGCAGCTGCTAAAAAAGCAGTAATGGATAATCGTCTTCACAAATGTTTGCTCTGTGGTGCCCTTTCTGAACTTCATGTTCCTCCAGAGTGGTTGGCTCCAGGAGGGAAATTGTATAACCTGGCAAAAAGTACTCATGGACAGCTGAGGCCTGATAAAAATTATAGCTTTCCCTTGAACAATTTGGTTTGCTCATATGATTCAGTGAAAGATGTTTTGGTACCAGACTATGGATTGAGTAACCTAACAGCTTGTAATTGGTGCCATGGCACATCTGTGCGAAGGGTCAGAGGAGATGGGTCTATTGTGTATTTGGATGGGGACAGAACTAATTCTAGGTCCACTGGTGGCAAATGTGGTTGTGGATTCAAACACTTTTGGGACGGTAAAGAGTACGACAATCTGCCAGAAGCTTTTCCCATAACTTTGGAATGGGGTGGAAGAGTGGTCAGAGAAACAGTGTATTGGTTCCAGTATGAAAGTGATTCATCTTTGAATAGTAATGTTTATGATGTTGCGATGAAACTTGTTACCAAGCACTTTCCTGGTGAATTTGGAAGTGAAATTCTAGTTCAGAAAGTTGTCCACACTATATTGCATCAGACTGCCAAAAAGAATCCTGATGATTACACTCCTGTAAATATAGATGGTGCTCATGCCCAAAGAGTTGGAGATGTACAAGGACAAGATTCAGAGTCTCAGCTCCCAACTAAAATTATTCTTACTGGACAGAAAACAAAAACTTTGCACAAAGAGGAGCTAAATATGAGTAAAACTGAAAGAACTATTCAACAGAATATTACAGAACAGGCTTCTGTAATGCAGAAACGGAAAACAGAGAAGTTAAAACAAGAACAGAAAGGAGAGCCCAGGACTGTTTCTCCCAGTACCATTCGTGATGGTCCATCCTCTGCACCTGTTACACCTACCAAGGCTCCCTATTCACCAACAACTTCTAAGGAGAAGAAAATCCGAATAACAACTAATGATGGACGACAGTCAATGGTTACACTTAAATCTTCAACAACGTATTTTGAACTTCAGGAAAGTATAGCCAGAGAATTCAACATTCCTCCATATTTACAGTGTATTCGATATGGTTTTCCTCCTAAAGAGTTAATGCCACCCAAGGCAGGAATGGAAAAGGAGCCAGTTCCTTTACAGCATGGTGATAGAATTACAATAGAGATTCTAAAAAGTAAAGCAGAAGGTGGCCAGTCTGCTACAGTACACTCTGCCCACACTGTGAAACAAGAAGATATTGCTGTTACTAGCAAACTTTCATCTAAGGAACTTCGGGAGCAAGCTGACAAAGAAATGTACTCCTTGTGTCTTTTAGCAACATTAATGGGTAAGATAAATTTATCTTGGATGATAACTGTGAATGTAATAACACTGAGTTTTTCTATTGCCTTTGAGAAAAAACTGGTCATTGTGAAAAACAAAACTTAAGTCTTATTTTAGGACAAAATTATTTCACTTAGTTTATGAGTAGATGTTAATGTGGCTGTCTATTGAGTACATATTAGGAAAACATAACCAGAATGTGAAAGTAGTGACTTAACTATCACCAGATTATTTAAATCTTGTTGCTGTTTTTTAAAACAGACTTTATAATTTATCCATTTAAAGCTTTTTCGGTTTTTTCCCCTAGGCTCAATAAGGCTACCACTTTGCCTCTCTTCATTTATTTCTAAATTTCATTTTCCTGCATGTCAGGTGATTTCAGGACTTCCTGTTTGATGATTGCCATTTCTGGTGTTTATATTCTCACCGCCCCCCCTACACACCTAATATTCTCTCTTCCAGCTCCCGTTCTTTCTTCCCCAGTTGATTACTTTTTGTTTTCTAGGGTTTGTATTTAAGTAATTTCACTGCTTAGTGAATCTTTGCCATTGATTCTAATGAACTATTGAAAAACTAAGAAACGTAAGAAACAGAGGTAGATGGTAATGGGGTCATTTAAGAAGTATTTCTTAATAATTCAGCAAAATTAAGGAAAATATCTTATCAACTAAATATGCAATTTAAAGCTTTAACTGATTTGTGATACTATTCAGTGGTGTACTTTTTAGCCTGTTTTTATTTGTTTAATCTGTGTTGTTTCATCACTGTTAACATGCATTACTAAGGCTTAAAGTATGAAGTAAAATTTAAATACATTTGATATTAGAAAGGCCTTATTTTCACTCAGATTAGAAAAGCTTTCTACTAGAAAAGTCATCTGGGGTTGGTTTGTTTCCTAAGGGTACTAAATACCAGTGAGTTGGGCCGTGACCTACTGAAGGGAAGGTTATTTATTCCTGGCTTATTAAGTTTGAGGACCTACTAGTTAATAGATCTAAAAGCCCTGTGGTATTGCTGATTTTAGTTTGGCAGACAAGGTAATTGAATTAGAGGATATACCAGGAACTGAGCTAGGCACTGTACATATTTCTATTTCTTAAGTTTTTAGAAACTAGCTTTAGGGAGAATGTTTATTAGAGACTGCATGGAATAGAGGAAAGATTGTGTGGTCTTTGGAGTCAGACAGAACTGGAATTTGAATCTTGGCTTCACTACTTAATAACCTAGCAATTTTAGGCAAGCTGCTTAACTCCCCAATACTTCAACTGCCTCCTCCACACAAAATGCCTCTTGTAGACAGTACATAATGGCAACAGTAAAATACTTCTAGAACTCTGAAAATTAAATAACATCAGTACAGAGTAGATGAAATCAGATTTGTGCAGATGGCATTTTAGAAGACCATCAATCTCTCATGTCAAAAACAGGCAAGAGAAAGTCTTCCTCAGTTATCCACTCTTGAGGATGTGGCTCATATCTATCTTGTCTATCATTGTTTGCTCAGTACCTAGTTCAGTGCCTAGCAGGTAGTAGGTAGTTTAAAATGGTTTTCGACTGAATTAAATAGATGACACTAACATATCTGAAGAAAGGCTTTGTCAACAGAAATGGAGTGGATGGTCAGCATTGAATGCAGGAGCAGAGAATCTGAAAAGCAGAATTTGGCAGTGTTTATCTATACTGCTGTACAAAGGAGAAAGATATTTCAGCTGGGTTCATGAAAATTCTGGCAACTAGATAGATATTCTCTGTTGAGGGAGAGAAATATTTGATCAGGCCTCACCATGGGCTGGATGAATGATCTCTATCTCTTTACCTGATTCCATATTCATTAAATGCCTATTCTGATTACTTATTTAGCTTCTTGATAATGAGTATGATTTGTAGTTGAGAGTGCATATGAAGATTCTGTTCACTGGAAAGGCTGTGTTCTCCATTGTAGATTAATACAATGGTTAGGTGAGACTGTGCTCAACAGTCTAAAAAATCTAATTGGCATGATATATATTTCATAATGGAAATTGTTAAAATATTATTCTGATTTACAATTAGATACTTTTTTGGTTTGGTTTGGGGTTCTTGGACCTGAGTATCTGAGAACTAAACTCTAGACTGCAATAAATTCTCAAAGATAGTATCTTCCTATTATGGTCCTTCCACCTCACACCCCATATTTAGTTGCTGCCCCTACAGATACACACATTTCTTTCAATCTACTTCCATTGCTGATGCAGAATTTGAGTGTAAAAGAGTCTTGCTGATTTTGTATTAGTAGCACCAGAGAGACTTTCTGCTTTAAGGTAGAGTACTAGCACAGTGCATGTTCTATTAGACCCTTTAGAGGTATTAGTTTTCTTCCTCTAATTCTTATAACTATACTTGAATAATATAGAAGATATTCTTTATAAAAAGTGATGTGCTTGTAAAAATGTCAGTTTGGGGATAGTTTTATGCACATGACCATATGCAAAGAGTGCTGGGAAACTATTGATGCTTAGATTGGAGAGAGCTGGAAAATGACAGGGCTTATTTAGAAAATTGCAAATTTCAAAGTGTAGATATTACTTGGTGAAATTACCATATGTAAGCTGCTACTGCGATAGTTTTAGAAAGTAATTCATTAAGTTTTATGTTGTTTGAATAGCTGGCTCCTTCACATCCTTAAGGTTTGGCTTAAATAAAGCCTCTTGAAAGGCTTTATTTCTCTGCTTTTCACATTATATTATATGCTATACAAAAGCAGAGACATGACTGTTTTATTCAGTGATGTGTACCTTTTTACCTAGTCCAAGGCCTGGCAGTGCTTGTTGGTACCAGGGAAATGCTTGTTGAATGAATTAATGCAGATTATTGCAGCAAAATCCATGTCTGTTATAAGCTAGAGACTGTTGGGGAAATAATCATGAATAAGACATAATCTTTGTCTTCTGTAAATTTATCTGTTGGATCTCCACTGAGGAAGTCCAATACTTTTACAGCTTTCATCTATAGATTTCCAGCTTCCCTTTCTATATGCATAAAAATTATAAAAGTCCAAAGTATCATCAATGTGACGTTTTGAAAAGCTTCTCATATTTGATTAAAAACAGTGAAATTGGCTGCAAGATGGAGAAGGATATATGTTTTTCCATTTGTTTCTAAGTAGAATATTTATTAAATAAAATTTATGTCTGTTATTTTATCAACAAAACAATAAGTAAGTGCATCAGTCTTTTGTTCAGTAGGAACCATTTATGGAACTAGTCACTTTGAATCTTACAGTTTAAAAAAAAATGTTTTACCTGTAATATTTCACATGTCATTTTACTCTGCTTTATCCAAACCCACTGGAGGTTATAGATCTTAAATTTTTTGCAGATTGTCATCTTTATTATTTCTGTAATATTGAGTGACTAACTCTGGCATTGCAAAATATGTTAATTTTCTTCCTGGTCCCTTTCCATCTATTTTTATTTAATTTTAACGTAAGTATAGATATGTTGTTGTTGTTATGTGCTGTCAAGTCGTATCTGACTCATAGCGACTCCTTGGGTTTCTGAGGTGGTGTCACAATGGAAGTAGATTGCCCAACCTTCCTGTCGAGGAGTGGGTGGTGGGTTTAAACCGCCAGCCTTCTGGTTAGCAGTCAAGTGCCTTAGGCACTATGCTACCAGAGCTCCCAGAGAATATATAATTTTATATTCTACTTTTAAAAAATAAGTATCTTTCTATAAGCTTTTCTGTTGTTTGGGCATTTAAAATTAGTTCCTACATTTAAAAATTGGGAGAATAACTTAAAAACCTGGATTTCTGGTTTTTCCTGAAAAGCCATAGGTCTTAAAGTATTGGGTCTACATTGCCTCCATCTTTAGATGGGCCATGTGCTTGTTTAGGGGATTAAATTTTTATTTTAAATGATAAACACAGATTCTACATCTCATCTGAGAAAGCTCTTGTCTTCTTTCTTTTTTTGTGATTTGGGTGAAAGTTTACAGAGCAAATCCATTTTCCATGTAATAGTTCATATATTTTGTTTTATGAGATTAATTGCAATCCTTATAATGTAACAGGTCTCTTCCCACTTCCTCCCTGTGGTTACCTTTTCCCTGTGTCCTTCTTTCTTATACATTCCTGCTCTCTGAGCTGTCTCCCTGTGCAAATACTGCTTTCTGCTCTCCCATGGTTGATTGTTCTAAGGAGTGGTACCTACCTGGTGTACATGTTCACCTTATATGCCTGTTGTTTGGCTGAAAGCCATGGGAGTGAATTTAATTCTAGGCCCAAAGGGTGACTAAGGGCCATAGTCTCAGGGGTTTCACTAGTCTCTATCAGACCAGTTAGCCTGGTCTTTTCTATGATTTTGAGTTTTGTTCCACATTTTTCTCCCACTCTATCCAGGATCTCCTATTTTGATCCCTTTCCAAGTGGTTGGTTGATAGATGAGCGTTGTATTTTATAGTACAATCTCTGTTCTAGGCCAATCCATATTAAAGCAACCCTGAGTTGAACTCTTTTGGTTGTTGCTAACACTTTACCTGTTTTTATCTTATAGGAGAAGATGTATGGTCTTATGCAAAGGGACTTCCTCACATGTTCCAACAGGATGGTGTGTTCTACAATATTATGAAGAAAACCATGGGTATAGTTAATTTCTGATGTTACTCTTAGATAATATGTCTACTCAACCTATTATAAGGTCAAGAAAGTTCATATCTGCTAGTATTCTTCTAAAATTATTTTGCAAAGTTAATTTTCGGTATATATTCTTTACTGTTTTTTTTTTTTTTAGCAGCCTACCTAGTTAAAATGGATTATTATCCTGACGTGACCAGCGATATTTTAAGCTATAGCACCACTTAAAAATATCCTGTCAAGAGCAACAATAGCATAAGATTCTTAACAACTAAAGACATTACAAAAATAGAAGTAGAATTGGTTATAATGCTAGTGATTTCCCTAAAACCAGATAATATTTTTGTTGATGATATTGTGTTTCGGCTATGATTATTTGATTATAACTATGATTATCATCAGTGAGCTCTGGTGGCATAGTGTTTAAAGCATTTGGCTACTAACCAAAAGATTGGCAATTCAAACCTACCAGGTACTCCACAGTGAGAAAGAGGAGGCAGTCTGCTTCTGTAAGGATTTACAGCCTTGGAAGCCCTGTGGGGCAGTTCTCTGTCCTGTAGTGTCACATGAATTGGAATCGATGCAATGGCAGTGGGGTTAGTTTGTTTTTTTTTTAATAGTGATTTTATAGTTGATGCTGTCTAAATTTTAGGAAATAGCTCATTTTACATTTAACTTCTTTTCATATTGTGTGTGCTTTGTTTAAAAAGATATGTACAGATATATAACTGTATCTTCAGAATTTTAAGATCCTAAGAGAGAAGTTACTAGTGTGTGTGTTTGGACCTCACATGGTTTTTCAAAGATTTGATGTGAATGTGTTTGGCCCCAGACTGATCATTCTGGCTTATTTCACTTTTTTGCTACCTAGCCTCTGTAGACATTAAGTGCATTGTTGTTTTTGTTAGTTGCTGCCTAGTCACCTCCAGCTCATGTTGACCTCATATACAATGGAATGAAACACTGCCCAGTTCTGTGCCACCTTCATGATTGCCAACATGCTTGAGTCCATCTTTGTCTCCAACTTAAAAGGTTCATCTTTCAGCACTATATTGGACAGTACTCTTTTGTGGTCCATAGGGTTTTCATTGACTAATTTTCAGAAGTAAGTCACAAGACCTTTCTTCCTAGTCTGTCAGCTCGCTGAAACCTGGCTACATGGGTGACCCTGCTTGTATTTGAAATACCTGTGGCATAGCTTCCGGCATCATAGCAACAACATTCAGGTCATCACAGTACAACAAACTGACAGTAATCTCTGTTTTATAAGTGCTTGAACAATTTCTCTTAGAAAGATCAGCACAAAGCCAGTCCCCATGAGGCAGAGGTTAAAGATGTCCCAAATGTCCAAGCTACCATGCCACCCCATCATTTCAGATGTTAACTCCTCCTCCTCCTTCAGATATTAATCTTCCCCACTGTCTTAGGGTTCTGTGTTTTGCTGTAATGTCTCATAAAATTCACAGATGCCCAAGCAATCATCTCACATAGTGGTGGTGGAGGCTGGGATGCTGGCAGGCTGGCAAGTCCCAGGTCTATAAGTGGGCCTGGGGGATCCTCCCAATTCTTGGGGTTTGACAAAACTAAATCAGCAGATCAGATGACGGCTGCTGTCCCAAATCCAGGGGTGAGATGACCATGAACCAAAATGCAGAACTGGAACAAGAAGGAGGGCAAACCTTCCCAGAAGATTTCTATGTATACCCTCAAGGAAGCTAAGGGTGGTGATTTGAGTTACCTCCTTCAGCAAGGTGGGACTCAAGATATGTTCCACCTGTGCTGCTTCAAGAGAAATAGCCCAAGTGGATGACTTTAATAATCAGGAGTTTAAAAGTAGCTACTCAGGAGCTCTGGTAGCGTAGTGCCTAAGGCACTTGACTGCTAACCAGAAGGCTGGCAGTTCAAACCCACCAGCCACTCCTCAGAAGGAAAATGGGGCAATCTACTTCCATAGTGATACTGCCTCAGAAACCCAAGGAGGGGTCACTATGAGTTGGATCCTACTCGATGGCACATAACAACAACAACAACTCAGTTGCTCATGGCAAATTCCACCATGGAGCCGATTGTCAGTCATTATAGGGAATAACTACCATTAACTGCCCAGCCAAGTTGACACATGACCTTAACTACCACACCACCCTAAACAGGCATGGATAATGTTGTTGTTGTTGTTGTTGTTGTTGTTATGTGCCATCGAGTCAAACCCGACTCATAGCGACCCCTCCTTGGGTTTCCGAGGCAGTATCACTACGGAAGTAGGATTGCCCAACCTTCCTTCCGAGGAGTGGCTGGTGGGTTTGAACCGCCAGCCGTCTGGTTAGCAGGCAAGTGTCTTAGCCACTATGCTACCAGAGCTCCATGGATAATAGGATTTACAATACCTCACAAAATGGAGAACAATGGCTACAAGAGCCAAATCAAGCAGTTCACCGCAATGAGTTCTGTTTATGCTTCATGAGCTTTTTGTTTCTTACTTTAAGAAAACAAACCCAAGTTGGCTATTATAGAAATGTTCAAACATCTGCAGAAGTGTCAAGAATAGTGTAAGCAATTCCCATTTACTTACCACCAGCATCAACAGTTCTCCGTAACTACTGACTAGACTATTTTAAAAGTAAATCCTCAACATAATAATTCTTTTGTAAATACTTCAGTATGTATCTCTAAAGATAAAGGCTTTTATTTATTTTTTTTAAAAAAAAAGACCATTATTATTTCCTTCCTTTTCCTTACTATCACCAAATATCCAAAACCAAAAACTGAACCCACTGTTAATAGAGTTGATTCCAACTCATAGCAACCCTATAGAACAGAGTAGAACTGCCTTATGGTTTTCAAGAAGTATGTACAGGAATCTGTGCCTCCTCTTTTTCCCACAGAGTGGCTGGTGGATTCGAACCACCAACCTTTTGGGTAGCAGCCAAATGCTTTAACTCCCGCACCACCAAATATCCAGTCAGTGTTTAAATTTTCTTTTTTTTTTATTGTCTCAAAATAATTTTTTTTTTTTCCAGCTGGTTTATTTTAATCAGGGACCAAAGAATGGTCCTTTATTTTCTTCTTTTTTTTTTTTTAAAGATAGGAGCTCTGGTAGCATAGTGCCTAAGGCACTTGACTGCTCACCAGAAGGCTGGTGGTTCAAACCCACCAGCCACTCCTCAGAAGGAAGGTTGGGCAATCCTACTTCCGTAGTGATACTGCCTCGGAAACCCAAGGAGGGGTCGCTGAGTCGGGGCCGACTCGACGGCATACAACAACAACAAAGATAGGAGATACATTTTTTTAAAAGATAGGAGATATACTTTATATACAGTAAAATTCACACTTTTTTAGGTATCTGGGTATATGAATTTTGACAGACATATCACCACCATAAGTAAGATGGAGAATATATTTATCATTCCAAAAAGCTCCCTTATGACCCTTTGTAGCCAATCTTGTCCCTTTGCCCTCGAGTCTTAGCAACCACTAATTTGATGTCTGTCCCAATATTTTTCCCTTTTTTTAGACTGTCATGTAAATAGAAACTTTGATTTAGAAGGAGTCAGGAAGCTATGGCCTGTAACTCAGATATGGCCCCCCAACTCCTTTCTGTTTTCATATATAAAGTTTTATTGGATCCCAGCTGCATTTATTTTTATATTGCCTCTAGCTGCTTTTGTTCTACAGTGGCAGAGTTGAATAGTTGGGATGAAGACTGTATGGTTTGTAATACCTAACATTTTCACCATGTTCCTCCTATACAAAAGCATTTGTTAAATTCTGATTTGTTGTTATTAGGTGCTGTCAAGCCTATTCCAGCTCAGCAACTCTGTGTATAACATTGCCTGATACTGTGACATCCTCACAATCTTTGGTATGCTTGACCCATCATTGCAACCAGTATGTCAGTATGTTTTGTTGAGCTCTTCCGTTTTTGTGCTCACCCTCTACTGACCAAGTATTACATCATCCTCCAGACACTGGTCCCTTCTGAAAACATGACCAAAATATGTGAGATGAAGTTTGGCCATTCTCTAGGAGCATTCTGGCTGTACTTCCTCCAAGACAGATTTGTTTGTTCTGATATTTTCAGTATTCTTCAACACCACAATTCAAATGTATTAATTCTTCAGGCTTCCTTATTCATTGTTCAGCTTTCACATGCATATGAGGTGATTGAAAATACTATGGTTCTAGGAAGGCACATCTTACTCTTGAAAGTGACATCTTTGTTTTTTAACACTTTAAAGAGGGTTTTGTAGCAGATTTGCCCAGTGCAATATGATGTCTGATTTCTTGATGCTGCTTCCATGGGCATTGATTTTGGATCCAAGTAAAATGAAATCTCTGAAAACTTCAGTCTTTTCTCCATTTATCATCATGTTGCATATTGGTCCAGTTGTGAAGATTTTTGTTTTATGTTTATCCATACTTAAGACTGTAGTCTTTGATCTTCATTAGTAAGTGCTTCAAGTCTTCTACACTTGAGCAAGCAAGGTTGTGTCATCTGCATATCACAGGTTGTTTATGAGTCTTGCTGCAATCCTGATGCTACATTTTTTTCATACAGTCCACCTTCTTGGATTATTTGCTCAGCATTCAGATTGAATAAGTATGGTGAAAAGGTACAACACATCTTTCCTGATTTTAAACCATGCAATTTTCCCTTACCCTGTGTGAATGACTGACTCTTGGTCTATGTACAGGTTCCTCATATGCACAATTAAGTGTTCTGGAATTCCCGTTCTTTGAAATGTTATCCATAATTTGTTAATGATCCAGACAGTCATTGGATTAAGTAAGGAATCTCTTTTGAGATTCATTCTTCTTGTTGCATTATTATAATTCATTACTTTTTTTACTGAGTCCAGTGGGACTTAAAACATATCACTGATCTTAAAGATGGTACAAGATCAAGCAACGTTTCGTTCTGTTGTACATAAGATTATTATGAATGGGAGCCAACTTGATGGTAACTAAAAACAACAACAGTATTCCATTGTATGGATACATCACCTTTTT